TAAAATTGTATATTCTTTAATACAGTCGTTCCCAACCTTTTCATTCAACGAAAAGGCATTATCTTTGTAAAGAACTTATATACCGTTAGTAATAAATAGCTAATTGAAAATTTTCAAGATGCTTTGAATTGAAAGTTATGAGGCTCGCTTATTTTTACAAAAAGTTTAGAAGGAAACATCATTTGCACTTATTCCTATGTACAACTTATAAATTTCCTATTTGCTTTCTTTCTCTTTTTCTTTGGATGTTTTTTCTTTTGTATAATCAAATAAATGTGTTGGGACATGTGTCTGTCCACGCACCAGAGGTTGGAAACCACTGCTCTAGTTAAATGTATTGTTGCGTCAGCGAGGTTACGTGACTAGTATCACGCCACCTGTTTTCTAGAAATATCCTGTTCCTTCGTGAATGCCCTAGCATTTACTAGATTGGGGGTAGTGTGGTATATATAAGATGGTCACAACGTGACAGGATAATGTGTAGGTAATGAATAATTGAATGTATGCGGACAAAATATTGTTGGACACGTGAGACGTGAACGTTTGTTATAGAGCGACTGTTGAAATTAAGTGTATCGAAAATTGTATTCGGAAAGAGTAAACCAGTTTTATTTAACAAAGGACTTCTGTCGCTAAAGTTTCGTCGGAACGAATTTACGGAAAATTAACTAACGAACGGAGACGTAACAGTATGTTGTTTAATATGCTAAGTGACAAAACATTCTCTCCACTTAATTAATATATCTCATGAAATTTACTCTCAGACAATTAAATATAAACAGTTAATTTGACTAAATTTAAAATCTTCCCTAAATATAAACCCATTTCTGTTAGTAGCTTTAATTAGTCTGCCTTATTTTATTATATCCCTGAAAAGTCTAAATAATGGACTTGGAGAAAATGCAAATAAGAATCTTTTCGTCCTTTCTGTGTTCAACCAAAACACTACATTTTTACAAAATTTTGTTTTATCATAGTTTCTGTAAGCATTCAACTATTTCTAACAAGGTTAATATATTTTCGTTTTTAGAATGTAAGAGGGGTCAAGGTGGCAAAAGGCCATACGAATCATAAGACTTACCAATTATATTTTTGTACATTAATTCACTGTGACTTTATCTCAACCTTCTCCTTTCTGCAGCACCCAACCAACTCTTAATCCTTAACTATCTTATTTTCTGTCCAAAAGATACAATTTCCCAAAGTGTCTTACCTGTGGCACCTTATCAAAAGCTTTCTAAATATCCGAGGACACTAACTTCACTGGTTTGGTTATTAGGGCACTCGACTCAAGATCTGATGGTTCGAATCCCATCATCAAATATGCTTGCCCTTTCAGCCCTGGGGTGTTATAATATGATGCTCAGTCCCACTTTTCATTGGTAAAGAGTAGTTCAAAGGTTGGCAGTGCCACGGTGAGTGGTGTTGACTATGTGGTATTTTCATTTTAAAACCGATTTCGTAAGAGTCCTTCAGGTAAATTACAGAATTTCTTGTGATTGAGATATTTAGTCTGAGTATAAGTTTCTTTGATGTATGAATAAACAAGTTGGACAAACTAAGATTATTCCATCAACAAAATGAAAGAAATCTTAGCACGCATATCCACTAATAACAAAAAGTTCTCACTCCTGGCTAGTCAGCATTCTTGGTCTTGAAGTGTACTGGTACGACAGCGGAAGTCACGCGACTATGGAAGCATGAGCGCTGGAGTTTCTAGAAGGATCATGGCAACTCTAGTTTTTTCTAGGCGCCATCTAGTTTGGTATATAAGCCCGGCAAATAAAGCAGAGAGATAATTGCAGATAGATGGAGATAGAGACAGATAATTGAGTCAAGTGAGCAATAGTGACCGTAAGTAAAGTGCGTGAATCGTTGTGAATTAAGTTAAAGTGACTGTGGAAATTCTGTGTATTATAAAGTTGTATCGAGAAATAATAAACTAGTTTGAATTAAGAAAGGAATTATATCGCTGAAGTTCCTCGGGAAGAATTTAAACCAGAAATTAACAAACGACCAGAGACGCAACAGTACTTTCTCTCAGGATCGAATACTCCAACACCAAACTCGACAGCAGAAAGGTATTTTCTGTAGACAAACTAGAAGTGAAATAAAGAAAGAAAGTGTACCTGGATTCCAAACATCAACTTGCTTTCTTTGTCCAGTGGACATCATCACCTCAAGACCTCTGCTCTCTGACAGCATTGGCCAGTTATCAGATTCAATTGATGTCATACTTCGCCCAACAAAGAATGTCCCATTTCTAACTAGTTTCAAGATACACACTGAAATTTCTTTGCGGGAAGAAGAAGTAATCTAACAAAAGAACAAAGTGCTGAGACAGCTAGAGCAATACAATATTAACCACAGTGGATCACGTGTTGCCGCCATGATAGCACGTATCTAGTTAATTGTAATAATAAAGACCTATGCTACTATAGATGGTAGGAGACATGGTATATCTGCATACTAGCTTCCTTCCCTCTAGTCTATCACTTCAAAATTATAGATGGCTAACGCAGATAGCCCTCGAGTAGTTTTGTTCTCAAAACTTGTATTTGAACTTTTTTCAGAATAAAACTAATCTTTACATCTATTCACTTTCTAAAGAAGCTAACACTAACAAAAATGTAATTGAGTTTTTTCAAGCTATTTGTTAACATAGTTCCTTAATAAAAACCATATAGCAAAAAACGAATAAATATTGTTGCGTCAGCGAGGTCACGTGACTAGTGTCACGTCACTTCTTTC